CCCCAAAACCCCAAAACCCCAAAACCCCAAAACCCCAAAACCCCTTTTATTTTTTCACCGATTGAAAATTAGTTTTAAAAGTGAAGTATTTTTTACTTTTCTCCGTACATATTCCTGTGAAGTCTTTGTATCTGTATTAAATTTAGTGTGGTTGATAAAAAAAATGCAAATTTTATTTAAGAAAATATTAAATTCCTCAAGATTTAAAAAAAATTGCTGATTAACATTTTTCACATGAAAACTTCACTTACAAACATCTCACTTTCATCTGGAGGAGCTTGGGCATGGATTTGAGACTTAGAAAATTAAATTTATGTATAAATATTCCAAAATGATGATAAAGAAAATGCTAATAAAATACAGCTAAATAGAAGAAAAGTGCAAGATAATGAATCAATTCCATTTTTCCTTTGGCTTGATTGCTAATCCTAAAATGAGTCTTTCATTGGAAGGAAAACTCTAAGAGATATAGATACATTTTTAACTGCAGATTTCTTGCCCATCTTTAAGTGGCTAAAGAATTCAAGAACAGATGAACTCTTGGGAGACCTCCTGCTTCAAGGTTTTGACACAATCTTTTTCTTATTTCACTTGTTTCGAGGTTTTCATTTTTTAAGTTTAGGTGATGGTGGTAACCCAATTACTTTCGGAGCAAGAATTCAATACTGCTTATTTACGACCATCATAAGTATCTAGAATGGAAACAATATCGTACTCGAAAGTGGCCTATTTAGTACAAATCTGGATCTGTGACTTCTTGAGCCTATAAAATTAAGAATATAGAATTTTAATGTTGTCTTATGCATACTTTTAACCCTTCTATCTTTTAAAGTCTTTATATTCGCGTTTTCTAAAGTTTAAAGTGAAACATCACTATATTGAGCTCCCTAAATATTAAAATGCATGATATACCACTGAAGGTGTGAAATTTCTATTTTTCTCAACCGAATTGTTTCTTTCTGATCGTGATCGGGTTATTCCTCTTGTAGCATTCTTATGAAAGTCAAACTTTCTTGTCTTTAAAAACTATGGGAGTATTTATCAGCGTCAGAGTAATAAGAAAAGTACCTGTCCTTTATATTTATCAATATTCTCTTGTATTCTACAACTGTTTTAATTATAGTTACTTTGTATTTAAAAATCCATTAATTTTTGATTCCCGTACCTAAATTTTAGCTAAAAGTTCTTACTGGCATTTTCTTTAAATCATTGAGCTCCTTAGGATAGAAGTTTAACACAGGGCAAGAAGATTTTATGTCAAAATTAAGCACCAGACCAGCCATGAGCTGTTTCTTTGCAAGTTTGGGTCTACTTTTTAGTTTTGACTATTTTTAACAACAAAAATACGTTTTTATTTTAATCAAGATTTAATCTTTATCCTGCTAGTTCTAGATATATGAAGTGAGGAGAATCATTACTTTTCTTCTAGAATAAATCTGATTTTCTCCCTCTTAGATTGATTTCTTGATTTGTTCCTCAAAGGTCTAGATTATAGAATTCAAAATTATTCCCTTACTTTGCTCTTATATTTGCTTCTTTTTGTTTAATAGGTTCATATACAATTGGAGTTGGGTTCATAGAATACTGGGTGCTAAATTTTTAATGAACTTAGTATCTCACCATGCTTGTATCTTAGAATCAGGAGTGAAAATGGATTTCATAGGGTATGAAACACCCTCCATAGTATCATTAATCATTTATAAATCAGTATTTATAAGAATTAATGGGGTTTTGGGGTTTTGGGGTTTTGGGGTTTTGGGG